TGCTTCGATCTTGCCTACTACATGAATGTTTATATTTGAGAAACATTAAGCAGTTAATTGATGTGATTATACATTTTTGTTGATGCCTGTCGGTAAAATTATTGAATAATATATTAAATTTAACTCTTTTTTCACTCCTAAAATAAGTATGAAGGAGTCGGAGTCATGCCCATCACATATTATACTTACTGTTCCCAATAATCATAAAAGCAACATCATTTCGTCACTTTTAGGAGTACATAAGATTCTCTTAATCTCCTCATGGTTATTAAGAAAACTGTATAAATACTAATATAATGTCTTAACATAAAAAGGGTTAGAAATCTAATTTGAAACAGATACTTTATAGTGATGCTTAGCAATGCAGATGGATCCTGATTATTGTTTTGCATTTAAAAAGAAATAATTGTAAGCATCAACTGCTGCGCATTCTTAAATATACATTTAACATAATCAAGAATTCCTGTATTGTTAACGAAAAACATGTGTTACTTCAATAATATATCAATAAGTATCACTCAAAAATAATTTCAATATTCAAACTGTTAAAGGTTATGTCTAAACAGTCGCTCAACATAATATATCTTCTGAATTACACACTATGCTTTTCAAATAAATTTGAAAAGTCATATTTTAAAGGAAGTTCAACTTCAAGTCAAATTATGTCTAATTACTACGCTAAGATTCGTGTAGTTATTCTTTATGAAATAAAATAAAAGTCAGACATACGTACATAAGCAGTATCATGGATACATTATAATTTTTATGTAAAAAAATATCTACAACTTTCTCAAGAGTAAGGCACAACAAATATATCGGCTGAGCAGTATGCTGTATTTCTTTCTTTACGGATATTTAACTTAAATAAATGTAATTTGAGAAGTTTTTCTGTCCATACAGGATGGTACGAATTAAAGGGTATAAATCTATATCTTATGAGATATTTTAATCAGTAAAATTACATTGGTTCCATTATTATATGGTTGGTTCCAAGAAAAGTTGTAACATAGAATGTCTCTGTTATTTAATACACATGAAAAATGTACGAAAACAGAATAAAATGTTCCGGAACAAAATATTAATTTGCTATTTTAAGTAGGATTTTATCCGTTTAGCAATGATTTTGTGCATGCGCCATTCCCTTTTAAGGCAATAAATTACCATATTTATTTCATACAAGCATTTTGGAAGTATAATATTTTCAAATTCAAACAATAATTTTGCATCAGATATATAGCTTTATACACTTAAATTAAAAGACAGCACATTTATCAGAATTAAGTGTATGTAATTATTGTGATATTGTAATTTCAAAAGGATAATTCTATATTCAGTAGGTAGACTGTCTACCGCAGTTTCGTTTTAAATTGACTCACGGCACATAATATGTTCACGGTAATTGGTTGTGTAACGGTATTTGACAGTTTCGTATCTCGTTATCAATTTTGGTTGAATAATGCACTGTTTCCATGTTATATCATTTAAGATCAAGAATAAAGAATCTATCAGAAATATATTATTCAGTTGCATTATCTAATTAGAAAATCAAAAAAACTAACATAAAACGTTACTAATTTGGTATGATCTAGCATCTCCTATTTGTTTGTAAGGCGTCAGGCATCCTTCTAATAAGAAAGGAAAATGATTTCATTGTAATAATGATAGATGTGATCTTTACAATATTGAATAAATTACTGTAAAAATGTAATTATGATGGCATTCAAAGGGGTTTTTAAAGTAAAAAGGATTATTTAACATTTTATATATAGCTATTTATCGGGTCTAAAGAGTAATAGAAAGAATATTCAGTAATAATAATAATAACATTTGTTCTTGAAAACAAACTATTGTGTCATAAAAGTACTTAGGGTCACTCTGTTTCTATAGCTTTTACAGTTTCTTCTCCTCTGAAACACCAACACCAAGAATATAAATATTTGGCATAAAACATTTTCTTCCTTTATAATTGTTACGGTAGTCATACCCCTTGGGTCAGATCGGATTGTCCCGTGGTTATATTTGAGTCTCCTTCTGTAAGCCTTGCTGGACTGACCTTCACAAAAAAAATATATATACATCTCTGACACCTCCATTTGGTCAGGTAGCTTAGATATTTTGAAATTTTGCATGGTGGGCCTCAATAAAGTTTTATAAACCATGTTTCTCGGGTATAAACAGGCAAACCACAATTTGACCTAACTAATTGCACCTGCATAGACTTATGGTCATGTTTGGCAAGGAATCTCAGCTGAGCGATTTAGTACTACGGCCCTCTTGTTCGCAGAAATTAGCAAAAGTTGTTCTGTTTCACGAAATATTATAAACAAATAATTAAAGTCCTACATACGACTGTACTTGGTGAAAATAGGTCTTTGAAAATCTGGAAAAAATTTAGGAAAACATAAAATTGAACATAGAATAGTTTTTCTTTAGTAAAATACATATGAAAACAAACAACAAAGACCCATAATTTAGCTTCACATATTTAAATTGTATAGTACAATATGCGACTGGGTACTCTGTGACGCTAGTTGTGTAAAAAAAATACAAAAAAAGATAGTCATCGCCATGACACTTGGTGAAAGTTAAGCTGTAATCGCGAGCAAAATGTAAAGAAAGTACACATAGAACAGTGTTTTTTATTTATAACGTACGTGAAAAAAGCAAAGGGATGACACTATATAAATGTGACAAGCGCAATGTTTGAAACAGCCTGTGGTCACGGTGATAGGGCGATTACCACAACTTTTCCGCGCAACGTCAAAATATCATCCTTCTGACCGAGACACCGTATATTTCTGGACAAAATATTAACGGCGGGATAAACAAATTCCAGGTAATAGCTTACAAAATATCTTACTGGTGGACATTGCAAAATTATTCCAATTGTTTAAGTATTCCATCGAATTTTTGAGACAATTTATCGTTAATCTAGCACAATACAATTCACAAAAAACACATACTTCGAAGAAATAGCGTTTACAAAAGATCATGTGTACCTCAACATGACTCCTACTTGTCACAAAAACATGTGTTTTTACAACGATGTATTTGTTCTATGACCTAACGAGCTCGTATATTTATTATGGTTAACCCTAAGTTCAAGTTCTATACAAAATTGTGCGTTTCTATCGTAAATTTAAGGGAATATATGTTGAAAAAAGGCCTACTGACCCGAATAAAGGAGCACCGTACAACACTGAATTCAAACACCGCATTCTTTTTCCGTTAGACCGATAAATACTGGCACCGTCTAACAACATCGAAAAACAAAAGGAATGAAATATTTGTTAATGGAAATTTCTTATTGCATACTAATTTGATAAAGTTGCAAAAGTCATAACACAAATTGTCATGGTGTAGTTTTTGCAGGAACCCGGGCAATATTTCCATAATCTCTTCAGTCATGGTCTCCAAGGTGCTTTTTTTAAACAATCTTTTGCGAAAGATGACTGCATATTCTTTTTCTTATGTGGTGCGTTAAGCATATCGTCCTGAAATACAGGGAGGCGCTGATCCATTGGCGTACTGCTGATATCAGAAGACTTAGTTGGGCGCTCTCCAGTTGCTGCAGTATATCCTGGAAGTAAATGCAGCTTTGCCATTTCGCACGTTGCTTTGGTTGTTCAGACATAGGTTTGAACGTCTTCTTTTCCTGAAAGCAAACATTAATATAAAAAATAAACGGTTCTAAAAAAAACAGTAAAATGCGGTGATTTTAAGGAGGAATAATGCGGTGCCCTAATTTTATGATTGACAAAGTTGTGCGGTGCCTTAAAATACACATGTGGAAACATAAAAATCATACCACACAATAAACGGCCCCCGGGTTATTTATGTATTGTAACTTGTTCATACGACAATAATGTACATATTTATATTGTATTTTTACCAGTTATATGAACTGAATGGACTAGAAATACGTTATATTTCCTAATCAAAGCAAGATTTTTTTCAGTATGCCCTAAATGTTTTCACTATCCTGACTTAGTTAGTGGATCATTTTGCATGTAGTAAAGATAATTAAGTTCCAAATTAAATGACACATTCGATGAAAAAGAAGAAATGATGATTTTACCTAGTTTTGAGCAAATTAGTTTGTGTTTTCGTCTCGGTTACAGGCTTGCTGTCCATTTTGTATCACAGAAATATACGGTGTCTCGGACAGAAGTAAGATATTTTGACGTTGCGCGGAAAAGTTGTGGTAATCGCCCTATCACCGTGGTGGTGGAGAGCAACATTATGCACTTATAAAAGGGTGGGGGTGGGTAATGAAGACTGATGGTTAAAGTGATTATTATAAATGTATCCTAATCAATAAGTATTGTAATTCTGTTTACTCAAGTTTTCTTGGAAAATGTGCCATTCATCACTCGTGTGTGTATGACGGGCTTTCATACTGGATGATCATATGATTAAAAGATTAAACGTCATGTACGAGATTAATGAAAATAAACCGTTTTGTGTTTTTAATCGAAATTGAACCGACCACATCTGATTTGCATGGTGTCCGAATAAAGCCATAACCAAATAAATCGAAACCTGAAAACAAAACAACAAAATGACTGTCATCATTTGATCATTTCATCTTTTATTGTCTGTCAATAAATATTTGGAAACTTTAAAGTCAGTATTGTGAGAATCACTACTATCCAGACAATTTTTTTTTACATTTTATCTTCTTTTTTGAGTGCTATACATGTATTATGACACCAGTCGATCGACAATCAAATAAAAATGTTAAATTCAATTAAGTTTGTACTAGATACAAGACTTTAATTATCAATTATCGCTGCGTTAAATTTACACTCCTGTGATAAGACTTTACGTCGAGGTCTTCTTTCTTTCGGCTTTGCAGACAATATCAAACTCTTTGTTGCCTTAATTTAGCATGCTACGATTGCCCTTACTGGACACCTTATATTATTTATTTACTCTTTTGACCTTGCTTTTATAGTGATATGAATACTGACGATTAATCACGAATTTTCCGTGCAATTTAATCATACAGCCTTTAACCTGGTAAACTAGAGGTGTCAACTGAATTTCAGAACGGAGGACAGCCTTACGATGGAAATATTGGGGTAAGTGAAACATTACGTGCATTACGAAATAACATTATTGATCAATTTCGTTATTTATTTTATAGTAACGTAACTGTACGTTAGGTTTGTATAGTATTAACAGACCCAGTTGCGGCGGTTGGCGCTTTTAACAGTTTAAATTTAGAAAACAGTCCTGGTCTGTTACCTTTATGCTAATTGCAACCAAAACGCCATTCAATATAGCTAAGGCTCATAAGTGACAGGAATGGCGACTGAATTATAGCACATGACTTACTTAAAAAATATTTATTGAAGTTGTGTGTATAACATCAAAACTACTGAAGTTATGTGATTAAAGACGTGTCTCCGGGATCATTCTTTGAGGTCACCATTAGAGGCCCATAACGCTGACATAGATAGTGCCAGAATTATGGCCCTTTTGTTACTTAAAAAGTTTTGCATGCAATACTACTAAACCGTGCTAAAGGCGTCCACTTGAATAGAAACACATGTCTTCAGGTCCATAAATGGAGGTCACTTTCAAAGTCCATAATTCTTACTTACTGAATTATATATAAAAAAATATTTGAAATTTAAGAAAATTCGTAATGAAAGTATTGCATCAATCATCAAAATAATTTAAAGCATTCTCCTGAACATAATCCATGCCTAAGGGATTCTAATAGGAGATCACTTATCAAAGCCCATAACTCTAGCAGAGATTTTTAATGAAATTTTAATGAAAAATGACCCTTAACTACATTATACGGTCTCTTTTAATAACGCAAATTTCTACTATAATAGTTATTTACCGTTGAGATAGTCACTATCAATACTGTTCTATTTTATTTTTCGCAGCATCAAGAGAATACTGTGCAGTTACCAACTGTATTTGATTTATGTTTCGGTTCTCCTGTTTTGTAGCATACCAGTTAAAGGATTAGGTATGTTTTTTTTCTTTGTTTTATATTAAAGCTTGCTTATACATGTATTAAAGTTTTCACATCAGGCCGACTATGAAATACTCTTCTTTCATTAGACTTTTTGTTGTCTGCATACGGACCCCGGACAGGTCAATAAATTTGCTTTTTAAAGCACAAAGTAGTGATAATTTACTTCCAGAATATTAAACAAAAAGATGAATTTTAGCCAAAAGTAGGTCGGTCTTTGTGCAGCAGTCATTTAGTACTCACTGCTAAACGTAAAATACTTTAAGACATTAATGATAAAAGTGAGAAAGTCATGATAAAGGCTACTGGTGCTAAGCAAAAGGACTGTGTTCAAAGCCGTCCGTACGTACAAGAGAATCACTTAACTTAGTACACTTCCTAGTCGTCCTTTTCTTCTTTGTTGGGCCACTTCCCTCGGCCGTACGCTGGTCCTCATGATACATGTTCCGGGAATCTTTCCGCCGTTCCCATGTTCTTTAAATCTTCTGTCCATGCCCTGTGCTTCTTTGTAGTTTAGAATCTACCTTTATTTCATCTTGACAAAGAGATTTCAAATACATCTCAATTTCTATAATAAATCATTCGATCACAAATTGCACTGCAGTTAAAAAATGTCTGTGAAGATTGTGAGCGATACAATATGTACAAAGCTTGACAGTCATCAGTCAGAAAGGAAAGTATTACATGACTCAACGTAAGACAGCCTTTCAAAAACAAAAACAAATGATCATCAATGCTTTCCGAATTCCTAGTCGTTTCTTAAATGAATGCACATCTGCTAACAATTATTTATTGTTTCTAACAATCCTCGATATGTTGGCTGATTTGGTACACATTGCGCGTTGCGTTGTCGATAGCGACAACACAACCTATCTTGTTATGCTGTCGTTGGCGACAACACGACGCACAAAAGTGTTCCACATCAGCCACCATACCTTGATGAAGTTTCCAGGCTTTCGAATAGGTGTACACTTATTAGGTTAGAAATTTTGGAAGAAAAAAACGATAATTTTAAGTGATTGGTCTTTATGATACATAAACTAAGATAATAAGATTGTATTTTATTTTAGATATAGACGAATGCGCTGATGGTAGGCATAACTGCTCTATAAATGGTGTATGTGACAATACAGCAGGCAGTTTCACGTGCACCTGTGATTGGGGATTTATTGGCGATGGTTATTCATGTAAACGTATGTATATAACATATATTTTGGATTATTACAAAATTATTCTTAAACACTGGATATCTGGTAACAGCAAAGAGGAGAAACAGAGTGATATATTTGTGTGTCAAGCTAATATGGTCATCTTTTTTCAATGTTTCGACTTAGAAAATGACGTTACACAATTCTTTGCTGCCTTCTATATAACAGTTAGATCTTATGAAAGCTTCAAATGCTTTGGCATAATTGTGTCGAGTTTTACATCCTTGGTCATTTTTGTCACCAACACATTTAAGAACTATATTCTAGAACTTTTTACATCTTAAATTTTAGCACAGTTACAATACCGGTGCAATCCTGATGACAGTATCAATGTGTATAATCTACCTGACGATAGTAAGATATATGCCATGCAGGTCGTCGCCGGCGGAAATGACGTACCTTGTACGGTGCACAATGACAATGCGACAACTGTGACATTAACAGGATGCTCAAAGGTTATTTAACGCTTAAATCTAAATTTAAATGTCCTACTGTTTTCCGTTAGAAAGTGACTAACTTATACAAAATGAAAATTGCAGTAGAAATGTAAAATACTAGAAAATATATTCGGTGGCCTTTTGACTATATAGGGAATACATCAGATTAGTAATCCAGATTTCGCTAGTTCGGTCCTGCCGAGGCGTAATTTCTCCATGACAACTTATCTCGGACGTTGAGTCTATCGGTCTTTTTGTTTGTCACAGTTGGTATGACTAGTAGTCGGTCACTTGCGGGGAAACAGGTTATTACTGGTTAATTATCCAGGAAAGCCGGAAATATGAACCGGCCGCCGTGATGTGACCAAAAATGTGTGAAAATCGGCGTAAAACCAAAAATATAATTGAGCCGCGTCACGACAAAACCAACATAGTGCGTTTGCGACCAGCATGGATCCAGACCAGCCTGCGCATCCGCGCAGTCTGATCAGGATCCATGCTGTTCGCGTACCAACCCTATTACAAGTAGAGAAACCGATAGCGAACAGCATGGATCCTGTGCAGATGCGCAGGCTGGTCTGGATCTGTGCTGGTCGCAAACGCACGATGTTGGTTTTGACGTGAGGCTGCTCAATTATGTATACAACCAGTGACTAACTATTGTACATTGCTTTAATACTAATATACCTGACAGATTATAAACAATTGTGCATTTAACGGGTACTATATCCATGTATGGTCAGTACATGGATTGACCTCTCTATTGACCTTGAGATGCTGATGTAGTAATATGTAGAAACTTGTATGAATGTTATTTGAATGTTACTGATGACAGAACACTCGTTAGTTACCATCATTGTTGACCATTCTTTACGATGATTGTACAAAATATGTGATAAATTTAAGGGTAAACTCATAATTTCATAAAGTTAACTGACATAAAGAAAGGGCTATGAAGTAAGGGTCTTTATGGCCCACTGATTGAGTTCACTGATTTCTTATAATTTGTCTAACAGTGCTGTGGGTTTGAAATGCCGTAGGAACTTGAGATTATTTCTTGTTATAAAGCTATGCAGCTAGGTCAGGGAAATTTGATAGTTCTATACCTGGGTATCCATGCTGTTCGCTATCAGTATCTCTAATTGTAATAGAGTTGGTAAGCGAACAACATGGATCCTGATCAGACTGCGCGGATGCACAGGCTGGTCTGGATTCATGCTGTTCGCAGACGCACTATGTTGGTTTTGTCATGACGGGGCTCAATTATTATAAATAATTACTTCGATAGCATTTAGTATCAGACATGACAAGAAACCACGAAAGAATTATATATACGTGTTGTGAGATTTATATATTGTTATCAATATAAATGCTCATACTAAATAACATTTTTTTTCTTCAAACCATGTTTTATAAGAATATCAAATGATATATTTCTAGATCCATGCTGGTCGCAAACGCACTATGTAAATTGTAATTAAATAAATACTCATGTTACACATATATATATTTTACGCAGGATGAGACAATTATTATAACATGCGAGTCGTACAGTGGACAAGCTATATACAAACTACATGCTGGCAAAAGTGTGGTAGTAAAATTCGTATGCGTGGAGATTGCCAAGGAGGGAGTTAATCATACAATCAACAATACTTATTCAGTTCAGTAAGAATTGACATTTATATATAAATATAACACAAATGTGCCTACATGTCTTCTGTTTTTTCCCCAGTTCCATACAAGAGTTCTAAAACCGGTCCTATGTTTTTTATGAAAAGAACTCCTGAATTTTAACGAAAGATTTCACATTAAACGTGATAGTTTGTGATCATAATTCAGATCATTGATATTCAGTATCGGGTTCATATCCCTCTCTAGCATTTTGAAGCGAAGCCTCTAGCGTCCTCTCTCGCCTCTTTAGCACTTCCTTGCCCCTCTCGCCCTCTTTCGCCTCTTTCGCCCTCACCGTCCCTTGCCTCTCTCGCCCTCACACTCCCTTGCCTCTCGTCCTCACCCTCTATTGCCTCTCTGGCCCTAACCCTCCCTTGCCTCTCTTGCCCTCACTGATGCCTTGTCTGTCTGCGGTCAATATGCTTTTTGCTGAAATAAACTTTGAAAATGTATTCATGATAATGCAATTAAGTTTTAAGTCGTTATTTATGTCTGTGTTAAAGCTTTGGTTTTCACTCCATTGTATCAAGACAGACTGTGGACTTAGTTTTCATTTAAATCATACAGGCTATATTCTTCATTGTTTTGTATTCAAAGTTTAGTTCATAAAGATATAGGCTTAATTGTATGATATTGAGACTGTAGTCGTCATTCTACTGTATTCAACTTGAAGTCTTCATGATTTTGTACTCAAACTAGTCTACACTATGATATATATACGCTATATAGACAATATAGGCTACATAACCTCTGATCCCCTTTCAAAATTCCATTTTTTTAGTTCCGCCCATTGTTTTCTCGTTTAGGGCACATGCTTTCAATTACTTGGGAACCATACGCCGCTTTTCATGGAATGGCACGGAAGTGTCACATTGAAGGTTCTATGAAAACCGCCGTATGAACACTTATGCAGATGTTTACACATTCAAAATTTTACCATTTTATGTTAAAATGTTGAATTCTGCTTAAGCCGGTGATAGGGGGCGTGGACGGTAGTTTGCACTTGACAGTACCGTCCATGAACAGGCTCGATCAAACCGAGTCTGCAACAATTACAATTTTGCCGTTTTCAGCTTTTATGGGGATTCTTATTTTCTGTATTTCATTAATACTTGAAAATATCATACTACTCGAAATTGAAATAACGAAGACCCTGCAGAATAAATCTTTGGTCATTAATCCTATTAAAGTTTGTCATAATGTTTTATTTTATTGACATATTAAAGACGAAATCATTAATGATTTATGGCTACATGAAGCAATATTAACTCTCAAAGAAACTGTCACTTCATACATATCTATGTTCCACTTAATCTAAGTATTCATCATATAATTTTTGGTATCAGATAATCGGCTTCATTAAGCACCTTTGTTTAATCTGTTTTAATATTGTTCTAATGGTTATACCCTATACAATTATTCTTCTGGTAATCACCACCAGGTTGGTAGTACGAGACCACATCAGCGTTGATCCTATATACAGCGTGACATCATCTCTGAGTGCCACATCAACCACTGTGGGAAGTGAAATAATTTGGACAATTCTCTTTCCAGGTAAACTAATATATGTGATTTTCCTGATACAAATGGCAGGTATGTCGGTACAATATTTTGTTTTCATCTAATTCTCTCTCTAAAAATATTTATAGTTCTATATCCAAAGTAAGACGATGTAATGTGTGCAAGAACCATGTCCGCACCTTAAAGCTCTGTAACACCGCACTTTGGGGTCAAACGCACTTTGGGGTCCGACCCCAAAGTGCGTCAAACTTCGCACCGCACTTTGGGGTCAAACGCACTTTGGGGTTAAAATCGAGAAATTGACCCCAAAGTGCGTTAATATGCTACATATCAACGCACTTTGGGTTCAAGAGGTCTAAGGGTGTCATCTGAATTCTGCTTAAATACTGAGTACTGACTTATTTTCTATCTGCGGCATTGGAATATTTGAGGTGGAGTTCAAGATGGCGGTCAATACTTTATGATGCTTAAGTGATAAAAGTTTCATTAATTTTACCACTTGAAATATCTAAAAATTGTGTTCATATAACAAAATTACGGTGGCATAAAAGTGACATTGCATTTTGTTTTGTTTTTAGTTTTGTATACATATTTTATTTTAGTTTTGCATACATATTTTTTTCAGTTTTGCATACATATGTTTTTAGTTTTGCATTCATATTTTATTTTTGTTTTTCGTACATATCTTTTTTTTATTTTTCATACATATTTAAGCCAATAAAAACAGCTTTCAAATCTGATAACATCCCATAGGTGATAATAAAACTAGCACAGTGGTTTGGTCCCCTTTCGGCCCATTTTTTTTTAATCGGCCCAGTCGTTTTCGGCCGGACAAGTCTGGTTTCGGTCGACCCTTTTCGGCCCATTTTTTAAATTTAATATATGCATTTTATTTAACTTTGTTTTTTATTATAATATACTATTATATAAACACTCGCGAATATCTTGAAGAATCTATATAAGTGTTTATTTGGAAAGGTCTGTTGATTGGTGATCAGTTATTATTCCATGAATATGCACCACTCAACCCCACCCCCTGAGAATTGAGAATTATGAAACTTAGGTCAATTCTTAAGCACATCCAGATAATGTGCAGAACTTATATGCCAGGGGTGTCGGCTCAAGGACGGGGTCACACTTTCAGGACAAAGGATAAAGACTTGGGTTTCATGTCCGCTCCTTATATTCGAAACCCCATGAAGGATTTTAAGGCACCCTGTGACAAATGTTAACCACATCGAGACCATATGCAGAACCTTTCTTTGGGTTACCGCGGACTATATATTTATATATATACTAAAAAGTGGTGCCCTATTGAGCCCCATTTTAAATATATTGGGAATGAAATAAAATGCAGTTAATATTTTTTTCCAAAGAACTATAACTATACTCTATTGCAATGTTCTGGTGAGATCGGACTATTAATAGTGATTTTTTTACAAAAACATTATTAAGCTTATCAATAAACTTAAGGGTTTTTGTAAGCTCCGTAACAACCGTTCGCCAGAGGCTTTTTATGGTAAATCTTACATACTTCTTTAGAAAAAGCAAACATGAATTTCATAATGTTAAAAAAATGATATCTGAGAAATGTAAAATGCTTGTTACCTGAATAAAGTAGCGATAAATGTGAAATTATTTGTCATGAAAGAAGTCAAAACACTGTAGTATTTGACTTCCCTATAAAATACTAATTCACTATAACTGTACTCATCATTGCCAAAAAGCAACAAATGAAAAAGATGGTTCAGGTAATTGGCCAATGTGTATTTTTTTGATAATATAGAAGAACATCAAAATGAAAAAGCTTTTAAGAAAAACAAATAAAAGCATAATGAGCCTTTAAAACGTTATTTTTAACCCTCGGGGGATCGATACCCCACAATCCTCTCTATACCCCCAGTGAGAATTTTACATAATTCTGAAGATCCGCTCTTAAGCCGCATCTACACCTAGTCAAGTTTCTTATATGTCACATTTAGCTAAATAAATGCCCTTTTCAACATATTATCAGGCACATTTTTTTACTGAAATGTCTTACTAAGATTTCCCAGAATTTATACCTTTGTCTATGCTAAGACTATCATAATTATTTCTATAAAATGTGTAAATAAAAAACGGGAAAATAATGCATTTAGCTAAAAACAATGGAGTTAATGAAAGGTGTACATTCTTTTAAAATAAATGGAAAATTTGAGAAAAATATTTTAAGCTTAATAATTGATACAAATTCTTTATTTGGTGATTTATTTGGTAGAAGTTCTTCACTTACTTTTTCAGATCTTTTTAATCCCTATTGATTCTACTATAATTCAGGGCACATGTTTGTGTCTATTTAATACCTTGATTTTTTGTTTACCATTGGCTTTGACTACAATATATTATTTAAAACATAATGAACATTGATTTTCTGTGACCCCAAAGTGCGGTCGTTTGCCTGATGTTAAAAAATGAATATGTACCTGTTTAACGCACTTTGGGGTTAAAATCGGACCCCAAAGTGCGTAACGCACTCTGGGGTCGGAACCCAAAGTACGTAACGCACTTTGGGGTCGGACCCCAAAGTGCGTTTGACCCCAAAGTGCGGTGTTACAAAGCTCTTGGTCGTACTAGCAGGTCAATTGTTAAATCATGAACGTCTTTTAACTTCCTCAGTCCTTGATGAGTTGATATAAATCCACCGCGTGTCTTTTCTACAGTGAAACAGTGTAATCCATGCATACACCTTCCTGGCCAAGGTCGTTTTGTTTTCAAAGGTCAAATACTGTCCGTCTTATAACTTTGCCTTTACGACATTGAATCTTAGAATATTTACCATGTGTGTTCAGCACAATTGGACAATGTGTTACGTGCAGACACACACCTGCATCTTTAAGGTAAATGTTGCATTTAAAGGTCAAAGGTCAAATTGTGTGTCCGCTTTTTTCTTTGGCTTATAACTTGGTTATGCCTTGATGGATTGTCGAAACATTTGACAGATGTCTACACAAGGGTGTGCGGGTGTGTCAAACGAAACACTGAGGTCAAGAATGTACTCATGGTGGTAAAACTGATGTATGGCAAGGTCAGATGTAATGGCAATGTCATACGGACACTCTTTCTAGTTTCTAATTACTTTGAAATAATATAGAATCATATTTTAGCGAGAGAATTAGATGAAAACAGAATATTGTTCCAAATAACCTGCTATTAATGTTATTATTTTAGAAAAGAAAGGTTCTCGGTCCGTGCCCAGCTTTAGAACGTTAAGTTCATAAAAATTCTGAATCTATCCAACGAGCATGGGACAGAATAATATAGTAGGCGCCTTTTTTTTTTTTTTTTTTTTTTTTTTTTTTTTGCTAAAAAGATTGAATATTGACCATATTGAATCTCATGTTACTCAAGTCAAGTAAAGCTGGAATTTCACCGTATTATTTGTCTGTAATTGTTACTTAAAACTTTAATATAGACTTTTTAAGAATACCTCTGCAGTGGTAATCGTTTTGTAATAATATACATTTTTTGTTTATCGTTGAAATTAATTGTTAAATTAATTGTTATATGTTAAATTTGAAGAACACTACAGTTTGGGAGTGAGTAGTTGTAGAGCGTATCCGGGCACCGATCGCTCATCCAAGGAGTATATCAGTTTAATCTCTAATGGCGGGTAGGTCTAATATCTTTATTTTTTCATTATAATCTAAAATTGTCTTCATATTTTTATAACTGTATATTGGAAATTTTATAAATGATTATTTCCCGTTACTTTTTCCTTGTGTAAATATTTTAAAACCCTGAGAATCTCATATAATTAATGTTGTTTACTTCAAAACACATAACGGAACTTAGCGGCTGTTGTGTGCAATCCCAAAAGAAAAAAAAGTATTGTAAAAGTAAGAAATGTCTATTAAAGGAACGGTATGTCCTCTGGTCTTGTGTCACGTAACCGTATGTCCACTGGTTCATGGGTCAGAATAATGTCAAGTGTCACGGAACCGTATGTCCACTGGTCTAGTGTCACGGAACCGTATGTCCACTGGTCTAGTGTCACGGAACCGTATGTCCACTGGTCTTACGTCACGAAACCGTATGTTCACTGGTCTAGTGTCACGGAACCGTTTGTTCACTGGTCTTGTGTCACGGAACCGTATGTTCACTGGTCTTACGTCACAGAACCGTATGTCCACTGGTCTAGTGTCACGGAACCGTATGTCCACTGGTCTAGTGTCACGGAACCGTATGTTCACTGGTCTAGTGTCACGTAATCGTATGTCCACTAATCTCAGAATAATGTCAAGTGTCACGGAACCGTATGCCCACTGGTCTAGTGTCACGGAATCGTATGCCCATTGGTCTAGTGTCGCGGAACCGTATGTTCACTGGTCTTACGTCACGAAACCGTATGTTCACTGGTTTAGTGTCACGGAACCGTTTGTTCACTGATCTAGTATCATGAACCATATGTCTACCAGTCTAGTTTCACACATGATAACAAACATTAGCTTACAGTCTCAAAAAGCAAAATCTATATACACTTTGTTCCTCCCAAAACTGAAATACAGCTGATAGTTTATAAATTAATGGAAAAAAAAATAATTTTGTTACAAAATTTATTTATTTTGCAGATGCTCTGCCAACATGGACCTCATAAGTAACTTTAACAGTTATAGTAATGGAACTGCCATTGCCACATTACAAGTCTTCAAATTTTACAGCTATGAGAGTGTATTTTTGGAATGTAGTGTGAAAGTCTGTCGACCTGGAACATCTCCAACAGCTTGTATGGTAAGCAAACATTATTACGTTGATGTAAAAATTATATTGTTGATGGGGATATACAGGAATTACTTTGGAAGCAAAGCCAACGCTGTGCCGGCTCAAGGTCAAGGTAACATTTTAAGGTCAAAACAATTTCGTTGACGCACGACAAGGCTTATACCCGATAGGATTTTCTTCAAATTATTTCTGTTATTCATCTTAACAGGGCAATTTAATGAGTTGAATCCAAGCCAACGCATCAAGGTCAGACTTGAAGGTCAACTATCAATTTTTATTTCCACTTTTCTACCAGGTGATGTGTATAGCCCATACTGCAGCTGCGGCTATATAAATTCTATACTATTTGAAGACTTATGTCAAACTTGACTCAAATGTACACCTTAAAAATATGATGATTAAAATGTATCATAGAGAAGGTAAAAGGTAATGATCAATCAAGTGGCATCTACCGTTTTAACTTTCAATGACATAACTGTAATAGTATTTGAGCCGCGTCATGACAAAACCAACATAGTGTGTTTGCGACCAGCATGGATCCAGACCAGCCTGCGCTTCCGCGCAGTCTGATCAGGATCCATGCTGGTCGCTATCAGTTTCTCTACTTAAAATAGGGTTGGTAAGCGAACAGCATGGATCCTGATCAGACTGCGCGGATGCGCAGGCTGGTCTGGATCCATGCTGGTCGCAAACCCATTATGTTGGTTTTGTCGTGACACGGCTCATTTCTAGATCCCATATCTTTAGGTATGCCTCTGAAACTACTTAAAAGTCAGTGTGGTAAGCTATTTTAATAAAAATCTATACACCTAGTTGGTTGATCAATGCCGTCGTGTTTTCAGTTTTTGGGTAAATCATTTTTCAACCATATTTAGGAGCTTTGCTTTCATAGTAATCTTAATGACTTCATAGCATACATAAAGTCAATGATTCAACTTTAACGCGTTTTGACTTCCTACAATGTGTGACGATTGAGGACCTTTGTGTAGAAGAGATGTAAATTCTCAGCTTGACATTGCATAAATACGTAAATAAAATCATAGACCAGCTGCAACCAAAATCATTGCTCCCATGAACACAAATATCAAAATCCCTTCAGAGTAACGCCATGTATGTATAAGTTATTGTGGTCTTGTTGTTTTTTTGTTTGTTTTTTTTTTTTTTCATTAATACATCTACAGGACTAATTTTGGAGATGATTTTTTAATTTTCCTATGTACGACTGAATTTTTATTTTACATTGTATTTTAACATCATAATTGCAGACGACATGTAGCCGAGAAAAAAGAAGCGTTGAGAAGAGAGCGTCTGTACGACCAGGATCAGTAGTTTCCACGACAATAAGCAATGTGCTGCACGTGCTTGAGTCACAGTCTAGCGGGACTTTACATTGTTAGTTTATCTATTTTCTTGTATCATAGTTTGGGGACCTTTCTGTTGAAAAAGTGTCAGAGTTAAATAGTATACATATACATGCACAGTGCGGTAACTGAAGTGCAGGTATCAGTTACCCGCACTCCAGATCATGCCCGTTGATTGGCTCATTTTTGCTGGGGTTTACATATTGTGACGGCAGAGAAAGGGAAAGCGGCAGAAATATCATATTCAGATGCTCGATCATTGGTTACTTTTTCCCGGGGTTTAAAATTGTGACAACAGTGAACGTGTTTTTAAGTTTGACTATGATACAAAAGAGAAAGAACACCAAAACACTCGGCAATCTGATTTATTTCAAAGTTTTTGCCAAACGTCTTCCATTAATTTTTGTTTGATTGCTCATGAGTGACCTCCCTTTGTTAGATGTATTATGTAAAATAAGTAAATGCATGTTCAGTTAAAATTTTAGCAAGAGTTTATATATGTTGTTATGGGGTTTCCAGTTGAATATCATTCTCTGTACTAGAATAAAATTGGTTCTATAATTAATTTTCAAAGCACATATCTTTGCAACATATTGTTCTCGCAGATAAAATTGGAAGAGAGGAATTGGAAGTTACATTCGGGTCCTTATTTGAGAATCGGTTTGTTTAATTTTCTTTTGAATAGCAAGAATGTTTATATTGATAGAGAAATGAACATCATTTACTCTAAGGTATTTTGTTTATTTCTGAAAAAAAAACAGTTTCATTCCGAGCCATATTTTACAAGTGATTGATTGGTTCGATGATGAAACATGGCATGAATTAAAATGATGCTAATCAAATATTATTAATTATTAAATATCTGATTGGCCAGGTGTTTGGTGCTATGACCTTTGTAAATCTTAAAACAAAGACATTTTATCCTTATAATGCATATATCACAATACTGATGTACTAGATGTTGTTATATCTTTGTATTTATATGTATTTCATTGTAATTTTATTGTGTTGATTCCCTATCTAATCAATGATTTTGATATTTTGAGCATAACACTACACTTGGACACTTAAACGTAGTTCTTGATGTTACATAAATGTTTTAAATGAATGACCAGATGACATAACATAATGTCATTAAAATATGATGATATAATAACGTATTGTATCTTCTCAGTTAAGTTAAGTTTAATAATATTTTATTGTATATTTTGTACATGATAAATTTACACAATCTAACATCATTATCTTAAGCACAAATATAATGTACATACAATTCGCTTGTTAACAATCTTATTGTTATATCATTTCAGATATCAATGACGTCCCAATGACGGCTATATTTACTGTGACGATCGTTTTAACAAGGGCAATACGAGGATAATTAAAGTACACAAACAGGGGCAGTTATTATACACTTATATACGAGGGACATTTTTGTACAACGGACGAAGACAATTTTCAAACAGAGTGATTTATATATGAACAGAGTAATTTATGTATAAACAGAGTTATTTATGTATAAAGAGAATAATTTATGTATTAGCATATTATTATAAAACAATGCAAATATTCAGATATATCGCTAATCAAATAAAATTTGAAACATAATTATGAGTTTTTAAAATTTTATCGGCTGGATTCGGTTACTACCGTTTTTAGTCCTCCCTTTTAGAATGCCGTAAAATAGGGCTATAATATGTCCCAATTCGTGTGTTATTTACAAAGATTTATGCACTTAAGTTGGTTTTAAAGTTGACATATGATATAAAAACAACATTATCGGTGCCTGTACCAAGTGACATTTTATGATCTGCTTGGGGCAAAAAAAGTACAATTGATGGTTAAGATTTTATTTGATTCAATAGTTTTCTAATAAATTTCATTATTTTCAATCGGATAAAATGTAGAACCCACTGTTCTAGTGTGAAACACATACATAGAATGTTTAAGAAAAGGTCAGTTATTTTTACGGAAAGTAAAACCGTGTGTTCGGACAATAAGGGGTTTCACGCGGTTTCACTTTACGAAAAACAATGTTTACTTTCCCAGGAAACATTCTATTCCTTACTTGAATTCTATATCCCATACAAATATATGTAGAATTGAAAATGTTTTGAAAACCAAAATTGTTATTGTGAAAATTCGGTCAGTTATGTGAAAGAATTGCGGTAAAAAGTATTTTCAGTAAAGTAAAACACATTAGAAGTGAAATAAAATACTCAATCTTATAAATACCAGACCCTGTTTATGACGTTTTAATTTTTCAGATTGCTCTCTTCCCTGGCAATTATTACTTGAGTGTTTTACTATTGTTTGATATATAAAAATACATCAATAAAAACCATCTTGACTGATTTTCTTGAACGAAGTTATTTTAAAAAAAAGAATTTTCTAGAGAATTGCATCGAGTGTAGGGGTAAAGCTTATAATTTCCAAACAGAAAAGAACATGGCATATCGATGGTTAGATTTTAGATTTAGTTTAAACATTTTTATTTCAATATTTCATCAACGTTTACATTTTATATGCATACAATTATTACATATAATTGAAAAGGATAAGAACGAAAAAGAATTTATTTAGTTCCTCTCCCTGAATAACAAATAATGTTTACACATACATATGTGGCAGAATAGTTTTTTTATGTTGATTATATCATAAAAAGAACAATATTATAAGTTTAAACAAAGAGAAGTTATTTAGAAATGCAATGAAAAAGATACGTATTTTTTGTATTTTAAGTACAAATACACAAAACATTAATTCGATTACGTATCACTGTCATTTAAAAGCAAAATAAACATAGATCTTGTCAAATGAATAATGAATATCAAATATAGATACAAAAATAACCTATCTATCAATCAAAACATTTCAAAATATTCTGCAGACATTTACACATTTGCAAAAATATAATGAAAACTGGTTTCACCGTGGGTAAGCAACTTTGGTCATGTGACCACAAAAGTCAACGTACACGGCCAAAATAGCTCGGCTGAGGTAAGTTTTTAGCTCGACTATTCGATAAGAATAAGTAGAGCTATTGCAGTCACCCGAGCGTCGGCGTCCGCGTCGGCGTCCGCGTCGGCGTAACCACTTATGTTAAAGTTTTTGTAATAGTTCAAATATTTTCAAAGTCCATAGACATATGGCTTTGAAACTTTGCACACTTGTTCACCATCATGACCCCAACCTTTAGACAGGAGGAGGTAACTCTATCAAGCATTTTGACAGAATTATGCCCCTTTTTCGACTTAGAATTTACGTTAAAGTTTTTGTAATAGTTCAAATATTTTCAAAGTCCATTGACATATGGCTTTGAAACTTTGCACACTTGTTCAACATCATGACCCCAACCTGTAAACAGGAGGAGGTAACTCTATCAAGCATTTTGACAGAATTATGCCCCTTTTTCGACTTAGAATTTACGTTAAAGTTTTTGTAATAGTTCAAATATTTTCAAAGTCCATTGACATATGGCTTTGAAATTTTACACACTTGTTCACCATCATGACCCCAACCTGGAAACAGGAGGAGGTAACTCTATCAAGCATTTTGACAGAATTATGCCCCTTTTTCGACTTAGAATTTACGTTAAAGTTTTTGTAATAGTTCAAATATTTTCAGGGCTTTGAAACTTTGCACACTTGTTCACCATCATGACCCCAACCTGTAAACAGGAGGAGTTAACTCTATCAAGCATTTTTATTACTATCAAGCACTTAGAATAGTCGAGCGTTGCTGTCCTACCGACAGCTCTTGTTTAGTGATTATTTTTCTGTCCAGCCGACTTAAATTATGCTACATAGCCTACCGACCGCGGCAGTTCCGATGCTTTCTAAAAATGTATTTAGTTTCGTCTAACGTTTTGTTTTTAGCTCACCTGTCACAAAGTGACAGGGTGAGCTTTTGTGATCGCTTTTCGTCCGGCGTCCGTCCGTCCGTCGTCCGTCCGTCCGTAAACTTTTGCTTCAAATGACATCTCCTCATAAACCACTAAGCCAATTTCATTCAAACTTCACAGGAATGTTCCTTTGGTGGTCACCTTTAAAAATTGTTCAAAGAATTTAATTCCATGCAGAACTCTGGTTGCCATGGCAACCGAAAGAAAAAACTTTAAATATCTTCTTTTAAAAAACCCAAAGAGCTAGAGCTTAGATATTTGGCATGAAACATCTTCTAGTAAGTGTCTACTAAGTTTGTTCAAATAAAAGCCCTGGGGTCAAAATTGGCCCCGCCCCAGGGGGTCATTGATTTTCCCTATATACATATAGTAAAAACTTAAAAATTCTTCTTTTAAAGAACCCATGGAGCTAGAGCTAAGATATTTAGCATGAAACATCATCTAGTAAGTGTCTACCAAGTTTGTTCAAATAAAAGCCCTGGGGTCAAAATTGGCCCCGCCCCAGGGGGTCATTGATTTTCCCTATATGCATATAGTAAAAACTTTAAAAAATCTTCTTTTAAAGAACCCATAGAGCTAGAGCTAAGATATCTAGCATGAAACATCTTCTAATAAGTGTCTACCAAGTTTGTTCAAATAAAAGCCCTTGGGTCAAAATTGGCCCCGCCCCAGGGGGTCATTGATTTTCCCTATATGCATATAGTAAAAACTTAAAAAATCTTCTTTTAAAGAACCCAAAGAGCTAGAGCTAAGATATTTAGCATGAAACATGTTCTAATGGGTGTCTACAAAGTTTGTTCAAATAAAAGCCCTGGGGTCAAAATTGGCCCCGCCCCGGGGGTCATTGATTTTCCCTATATGCATATAGTAAAAACTTAAAAAATCTTCTTTTAAAGAACCCATAGAGCTAGAGCTAAGATATTTAGCATGAAACAGCTTGTAATAAGTGTCTACCAAGTTTGTTCAAATAAAAGCCCTGGGATCAAAATTGGCCCCGCCCCAGGGGGTCATTGATTTTCCCTATATGCATATAGTAAAAACTTAAAAAATCTTCTTTTAAAGAACCCATAGAGCTAGAGCTAAGATATTTAGCATGAAACATCTTGTAATAAGTGTCTACCAAGTTTGTTCAAATAAAAGCCCTGGGGTCAAAATTGGCCCCGCCCCAGGAGGTCATTGATTTTCCCTATATGCATATAGTAAAAACTTAAAAATTCTTCTTTTAAAGAACCCATGGAGCTAGAGCTAAGATATTTAGCATGAAACATCATCTAGTAAGTGTCTACCAAGTTTGTTCAAATAAAAGCCCTGGGGTCAAAATTGGCCCGGCCCCGGGCACATTGATTTTCCTTATATGTGTATAGCAAAAACTTAAAAATCTTCTTTGAAAAAACCCAAATAGCTAGAGTTTAGATATTAAGCATGAAACATCTTCTAGTAAGTGTCTACAAAGTTTGTTCAAATAATAGCCCTGGGGCTAAAACTGGCCCCGCCCCAGAGGTGTCATTGTTTTTAACTATATGTGTATAGTAAAAACTTTAAAAATCTTCTTTTAAAAATCCCAGTGAGCTAGAGGTTAGATTGCAGAAAACATCTTTTTGTGGGTGTCTACCAAGTTTGTTCAAATAAAAGCCCTTGGGTTAAAATTGGCCCTGCAACGTTGGAGGGGAGGGGGGGGGAGGTCATTGTTTTTCATTATATGTGTGTAGTAAAAACTTAACATCATGAAACATCTTCTAATGAGTGTCTTCCAAGTTTGTTCAAATAAAAGCCCCGGGGTTTAAACTAGCCCCGCTCCGGGGGCCTAAATACAGGTGAGCGACCTCAGGGCCATCATGGCCCTCTTGTTTATGAGAACATTCAAACAATATTTGCAAATTGTCGATGACAACGTACACACTTTTGTGTAAAAGTGTTGATGAAAACTTAATAAACGATATGCATGTCAGTTCTAAGTAAAATTTCAGGTCTTAAAATATATAAGAGAATGTTTTAATGAAAAAAGAACTGGTTTCCTGCAGTCATTTTTTGTATTTATTTAAAAAATGACCAACTTACAGAAATGTCAACGTACACATACAGTCTAGAAAATGTCAACGTACACACTCACAATTTAGTTTGATAGTGGTCTGAACATGAGACTGCAGCTTTGAAATAGATGGCTTTTTTCAACAAAAAGTTGGCTTTCAATTTAGATTGCCCTCTCATTATTTTTTCTTACAAAGGAAATAGTTTAGAGTGCATTCATTTCATCGCAAATAAGCTTAAACAACCTTTAACTTTTTCATGTTATTTATTTATACTTTTGTTTTTAGAAGACAAATTTCCAGTTACTCAAATTGCTTAATGATTGGCTGAAACAGCCTTTTTTATATTTTATACTGGATTAATATTGATCGTATTACAATATAGATCGTAATTACAGTCATTTTGATAACGTAAACAGTCAGGATAAGGGTCTCTTGCTCAACCAACTAGTGCCTTTCGTAGCAGCAAAATGGTCCAAGGTTGACGATGACGCCGAGTTACCGGTTTTTCAGCAGTTGCGTCACTTGATCCCTATGATTACATCACTAATGTTCTATTCAAGAATATATCTACTTGCACTTGCCACCATTTTATAGGTTGGTTGAGGCAACCAATTACCCTTTTGTTAAATGGTTAGTTACTAGTACCAAGTTTCTAGTAAA